TGTATGAGAGGATTTTTCCCTCACTTGTATATATCGTGCACTTTGTATAAACTGTCATATCAAACTTTGAATTTCAGTCTGCGCCTGAGTCCTCTCCCTACCTGTAAAGTAACCAATTACTGGGATTTTTTTAATCCTCTGGGGTCCAGGGTGCAATTGGCAGTTTTTGACTACTTTTGATTTTACCTCTGTATTTCACCTTTAAAAATAATTTATCTTTCCTTGTTTGTATCATTCTTTTCAGCACAACCTCACGTCTGAATTTACAGTTTTGTTTTCATTTTGATATACTGCATTAACAAAATTAACACAAGCAATATTATTATTAAAGTTATTATAATAATTATAATAATAATAAGCAATATTATATTAAGTTGGTCTATTTTGTCTCTTTTTCTGTAAAACAAACAGATTTATTTTTAGAATTAATATTTTGTTTCTAAGTGGAATTGACAGTTTAGTCTGTTTTGTTTGTTCTATTTTGAAACTTAAATGCTTTAGCGGCTGCCTTTTGTGTAGTTTGTAATATTTGCCTTTAATTTGCCTAAACTGAAGCCTCATTTTAAGTGCATCTGCCCTGTTGAACTTATTATGGGAAATAAATATTTAAATCAAAACAAGCTGCTGATTATTTCACATTTTACTTGTGAGCAACGGCACATTTAAATCTTACAAATATAGTTATTTGGCTTATATCGTGATATATATCGTTATCGCCTGAAATGAAAAAAACATATCGTGATATGAAAAAATCTAATATCGCCCAGCTCTACTTGGAAGTCTATTTTTTTTTAATTTCAACTTGGATCTCAAACTTGGAAAAAGAACAACAAGGGTGTTACGGTTGCAGTTGTAACTAAAACAAATGAAACAATTGCCACAGCTGTGTGGTTTGTGAGAGTAAAGTACCCAAAACGCAGGGAGTGGGTTGATGTGAGTGAGCGTTTATTTACAGTGAGGGATATACAAACCAAAAGTGAGGGTGGTAAGGACAGAAGTAAGAAATGCCCTAAACTGGGAAAACGAATGAACACACCTGAAACACGTAGCGGGGAGACGCAGAGAAACACCAACTAACGCAGGCAGACCAACAACAAGCACAGTCAAACACACACTATACAGTATACACACGTGGAGGGGAACGAGGAATGGCAAAACAGGAGGTAGGCACAGCTGATCCTACCTGATGTGATGAGACAAGAAACACAGACCTTAAAGGTAAAACAGGAAACGCATAACAAAACCTAAAACTAGAACTCAAGAAATACTAAAGGGCTAAGGAGCTAGAAAGAGTGAGAAAGAAACCAAAACACTACAATGACAAACCAGGATGGAATCACCTGCCAACACGGACGATGATGCAGTTCTACACTGCAATCATCGAGTCCATCCTCACCTCCTCCATCACC